TGACTAAAAAATATAGCTGTATTTTTTAAAATATAAATGTTTTTATTTACAATTATAATTCAAACATTATTTTAAGTAATCTAGTTCAGCATTACTTTCTTTTCTTAGACATAATTTGTTATTTCTACACATTTTGTGGGAGCATTTAAATGGCAAAGAAAGTGAAGAATATGAGATCACTTAGATTGTTTCATTGCTTTTATTTAGTAATATGAGATCAAGTGGCATTAAAAAATTTTTAATACTGGGATTTTTTTCACAAGATATATTTTTGGGTTTTTTTGGTTTTTTTTAAAAATATGTTTTATTGATTTTGTGCAGAGAGGAAGGGAGAGAGATAGTTAGAAACATCGATGAGAGAGAGTCATCGGTCAGCTGCCTCTTGCACACCCCCTACTGGGGATATGCCAGCAACTAAGGTAGTACATGCCCTTGACCGGAATCGAACCCGGGACCCTTTAGTCCCTAAACTGACGCTCTATCCATTGAGCCAAACCGGTTTCGGCTCACAAGATATTTTTAATCATTTATTTACTCATCCATCTAACCACCCATCCATCCATCTATTCAAGCAATAGTTATTGTGTACCTACTACAACTATGAGTTCCATCTATGGGGATACAGCAATGAACAAGCTTGACAATCTCTGCTCTCAAGTACAATAGTTTACATTCCTGAGAGACAGGTCAACAGCAGATAAATAAGGAAATAACATCTAGTAAAAAGTGGAAGATGCACATACAGTGATGTCATAAAGGGTGCTTAGGTGGGTGGCCCAGGAAAGGCTTCTGAAAAGGAAGCATGTAAACTGAGATAGGAGCACCAGGAAGAAACCACTTTGACAAGAGGAGGGAAGAGCATTCAATACTGGCATTTGTAATTTACTTCAACAGTATCTGCCCTTGTCCATGTTTGCATTCAGGCTCTCTCCAAGATTCCTCTAATTTTAATATTCTATGAGTCTCAGTGTTATACCTATAACGGAGTCACAGCCAATCTACAACTATAAGGGAACTAATACCATATTAAAAGTACGCAGAAAGGAAAATGATAAAATACTTGACATAGGCATATACTTCATCCTATTGGTGTATATCTACATGAAAAGCCAAATTATAATCGTAAGATTGCTTTTAAGCATGGAATCAGAGCAAGAAGAGTTAGTGAGATAATCTTGACAGCTTTTTTTCATTAAGCCATTTTCCTTGGTTTATTCAGTGCCTGATTGGGAAGACCTACCTATTATATACGGCAGGGACATCTGCTCCTCTGGAGATTGTTGGAGCTTTACTATAAAATTTGGGTACTATTTTTTTTTTTTAAATATCTTTTATTGACTTTTTACGGAGAGGAAGAGAGAGGGATAGAGAGTTAGAAACATCCATGAGAGAGAAACATCAATCAGCTGCCTCTTGAACACCCCCTACTGGAGATGTGCCCGCAACCAAGGTACATGCCCTTGATCAGAAATCGAACCTGGGGCCTTTCAGTCCGCAGGCTGATGCTCTATCCACTGAGCCAAACCGGTTTCGGCTTGGGTACTATTCTTTTTTCCATTCTTCACCTTCAAAAATATAACAAATAAAATTCACAAAATTAATAGCAATTTATTAATTACCTTCTGAAATTTAACATGGTATATTTTGACTATGCTTACTAGATTTACTTTAGATTGACCAAAGAATTAAAAAAAAAAAATGGGATCACTGTATTACTGTAAAAGATAATTTTCCATAGAATTAGCACAAACAAAACCCATCAAGTTTTTTTGTTTGTTTTGTTTTGTTTTGCTTATCTGTCTTTGTTGCGAACCTGAACCTTCCTTCTATCATTGCAGCATAAAGGATGTAGGGGAACAGGAAAGTGGTGTTGATAGCGCTTCCAGTAAGCGCAATTTGTATTTAAAATGAAGCAATAGTACTTATGCTAGTCTTTCAACAAAATTCTAGAACGCTGCAAGAGTAGATATTTCTCCTTAGCATAGACTTAAGTGCATGACGATGGTGCTCCTTTAACTTTGGTAGTATGGTTTGAACTGATTTATTTTTTAAATTGAAATTTTTAATCAGGTGACATTGGTTAAAAAATGATACAGCTTTCAGGTGAACAATTCTACAATACATCATCTTTTCACTGTATTGTGTGTTCACCACTCCAAGTAAAGCCTCTGACTATTACCATTTATCCTCCCTATATCCTCCTCCACTCCTCCTCCCACCCCTAAGATATGACTGTATTTAATTACCGCTGATGAAAGATAATTTGCTTACTGGTTAAACTGTTTCATATTTCACAGATAAAATGGTGATACCACTTGAAGTCCATATCTGTCTACTTTTTTTTTTTTTTTTTTTTGATAGACAGCCTAGGCAGATTGCATACTAAATCTAATGTGGATATCTGAAAACTCTGGGCATTCAGAACAGAATTCATCTTCAAACCTCAACAACATCTGGTATATACAGTCTTAATCTCTTAGAATTTCTAGGCAATAATTCTAACCAACAGAGTTAGGCTGTAGCAATTAAAAGAGAAAAATGCAAAGACCAGGGAAGATATCTGACTGAGAGAACTGACTTCATAGCCTTAAAAAGTGGCAGGCCATTTACTAGCTATACTGTATGACTTAGGGAGAGTTACTAATCTGCTCTTTACTGTGTAAAACGTAGATAATAACAGCTACTGCTTGTATAAAGATTAATAATGGAATATTGGCATACATTTAAAATGTAATTTCAAAACAAATGTCACCCCAGTAAATTTAATTTAAAAATGTAAAAAAAAGTTATTTCTTTTTTTCTCATTTTTTTATTAAATTATTATCTGTGTACATACTTTAACATTGCCCCCCATACATACTTTCCCTCCCCAGAGTTTTGTGTCCATTGGTTGTACTTATATGCATGCATAAAAGTCCTTTGGTTGATCTCTTATCTCCCCCAGATCTCCCCACCCTCCCCGCTTTAATTTGATAGTCTGCTTGTTGCTTTATTGTCTTTATATCTGTCTTTTGGTTCATTAATTATTTCTTATTTCTACTCTTTTCCTATACCTTGGGTCAGTCTAGACCTTTTTTGACTGTGAGGAAACAAGAAACATGGGATGTACGATATATTTTTAAAATTTCATTTCTCGATTCAGTAAATAAAGCATATATAACTGAAACTAAATTTTCACAAAGTAGCATTTATGCAATTCTTTCTTCTGAATTCTAGTTTATTTAGAAGTAATAGTGTTTGAAAAACATTCCTCTAAGCCATCTTAACTGAGCCTAGTGTCTATAGTTAGAAGAAATAAAACCCATCTTATTTTAGGAGCCTTTTTAACACCATATTCTCTTCTCTAGGTTAAAGGCTACAACTGGATATGACTATTATATGCTACCAAATCATGGCTATTTGAGATGTATTAGCACTGAATCTACAAGTAGCTTCTTGGGTAGGCAATCAGCCATGTGTTAAATTAAGATAGCAAGACTTGAAAATTCTCTCTAGAACTTAATAGAGTGATGAGTTAATATGTAGTGAAGTACTCTAATGTCTAATAAAATGGGGACCTTATATGTGAATAATAGTAGTAGTGTATTGAAAAAACATGTAATATAGCAGTATCGTATCCAGTAACATCTGAGACCTGTTCTAAGATATTTTATAACCAGTAATTAGATCTGGGGAAGTGGGTTCCTTAACACTGTACAGTCTTATGAAGCATGACAATTTTGTGTATGTAGCCTTGAGAAACTAGCAAAAAGAGAATGTGTATGTTTTATTATGTTCCTTATTGGAATAAACATTTAATTTAGGGAAAGAAACATTTTAAGATCTTAATATGTAGTTTTAAAAACATCATTGTTTCAAATATACTCATTTGGGATATATTAGTCTATCTTTAGAAAGGGAGAGAGAATGGATCCTTTGAAAAACCTAATCATGTCAGGATCACGTCACTCCTTGGCTCCACATTTTCGTATTTCACTCACAATAAAAGCTTAAGTCCTATAATGGCCTTCAAAGTCTGGCCCCAATCACTTCTCCTCCACCCCACCTGCACCCCTTTACCTGCCTGGACTCCTGCTGTTCTCCAGCTATCTCATTCTACCCCAGCTACAGTTCTCCCTCACCTCCTTCAGGTCTTAGCTCAATAGTCAGGGAGGCCTTCCCTAACCACCTAATTTAAAAGTGCATTGTGTTCTTCCCCTTCTCGGACACACTCACACTTTCCAGCCTGCTCTTGCTTTATTCTTCTCCCCCTCCCACACACACACCCACCCACCAGCACTTATCACAATGAAATGTACTGTATAGTTATTACTTATTCTCTCTCTCTCATTAGAATGCAAACAGCATAATTCTAGGGGTCTTTGCCAGTTTTTAAGCACGCGTGTACCCCCCAGAGGCTAGAACAGTGTTTGGCACCCAGGAAGTAAATACATTTCCACGAATGAATGAATCAGTTGTAACCACTACCGTATAAATGGTGTTCAGTTCTTCGGTGTGCTTTTAAAAATTTATTCCACAGGTAGAAGTCACATGCCTGCTTTTTAAAGTTTCTTAATTCCTTTCCTCTCGGTTTGGGGGAAGTCAAAGGAAAAAAGGCGGCTATGTTACGATGGGGAGGAGGCGGGGAGGAATTTTTTTTAGGGAGATGACAGGTAGAGGTCTCACCAGGATGCTCTCTGAATCCAAAGCACTGTACCTGTGGCTGCTAGGTTCCTGGAGTCCACACGCAGCCCGGGAAGAGAGCCGCGGGATGTTTCCTTCAATGATCTCCTGATGCAACTGTGTTCACAGCTTTGCTGCCAGCTCCCAGGGAGAGCTTAGGGTCCCCAGCCTCCTACACCCTCTATTAGGTTCCCGCTGCCCGGGATCCCGCCAGGATCAGGGCGGCGGGCCGGCGAACCCTCCCTCCCTCCCGCCCCTCCCGCCTCCTCACCTGGGCGCCGCCCAGCCCCGCACCCGGTGGGTCGGCGGCGGCAGGTGAGACCCGCCCGCGGGAGGCGGCGCAGGAGGCGCCCGGCGGCCCCGGCGAGGCCGGAGAGGAAGCGGGGAGGCGGGGTCTCCCCGCACGGGGGCGCTGTCACCTGCCCGGGGAGGAGCCAGAGCGGGACCTGGTTTTTTTTTTTTTTTTTCTTTCTTTCTTTTTTTTCCAGCTCAGACACCCTGAAGCAGGGAACCCGTCCGGACCATGAAGCGCGGCGGAGGCATTGAGAACCCGGCTTTCCTCAGCTCCAGCCCTGACACCCCGCGCCGCCCCGTCTCCGCATCGCCCTCTCCCGTGGAGGTGCCCGCCTTGCCCGCCGGCTCCCGGACGGAGAATTCGCTGCCGCCCGAGCCGCCGGAGCCCCCGCAGCCCCCGCTGCCGGCCGCCGCGGCCCCGGACCCCCGAGCGTCGCCCGGGCCGGAGTCGCGGTCGGAGGCGGAGGGGCCGTGCGGGTGGGGCAGCTTCACACCCCGGTGCCTGCAGCCCTGCAACACGCCGCAGGGCTTTCTGATCCACTACTGCCTCCTGGCCCTCATCCAAGGTGAGGTCCGCGCCGCGGGGGGCGGGGGCCGGGCGGACCCGGGGGCGGGGTGCGGGGTGCGGGCGGGGGGCGAGGGCAGGAGCCAGGTCCGCCTGCCCCGCGAGGCGGCCGGGCCGCGGTCTTGCAGGAGCTACGGTCCACAGTAACCAGCGAGGCTCAGACTTCCACATTTCAGCTTCTCTGTAGTCGCTAAGATGTTGTAAAACTTTGCACGCAGCATTTGCTCCTTGGTGTCCTACCTGCCTCGGTTTAGCAGGTTCGGTCCCTCCGGGGAAGATTGAAATTATCGGAGCCATAATCTCTGGGGGGATTCGTTCCACGGGACAAAAGTATGCATTTTACTAAACCTCCAATTGAAGGGATTTTTGTTTTTACAGTTCCTGGAACGTATTAATTAAGAAATTTGCAGGTGAGGGTAGGCTGGTTCTCAAAGGAGCAGCTTGTAGAGTAGTATTGTATAGGTGGGATATTAAGTTCTAATATTTTGTGGCTATATATGTAGTCCGAGTTATATGAAAGCGCAAGTGTGTAGTGCAATTCGCAAAGATTTCAGGCATGTGGAGGGTGAGGTCCTTCTAACAGCAGAGTCATGCAGCCTCCGTTTTGTTCAGGGGTTTCTTTTACGTTCCCTTGGGAGTTGCTGGTCAAGTCCAGGCTTATGCCCTCAGTTTGCCCCTAAGGCTGCTTTGGAGGAATGAGTCTCAGGGTGGAGGATCAGGGTGGAGGAGAGTGGCTCCCTGCAGGGAGCATAGAGAAGGTGGAAGCTGGGGGGGAGGGGGGGTGGTCTAATGCAGGGCCTGAGAGAAATGGGAACTGACACCCACAGGAACATGACACAGTGAGGAGGTGTAGGCATTGAGGAGGAGCATGTGAAAGGACATGCTGAAGGTTAATTAGAGTTTAAGGATATATGTACATATTTTTAAAAATATTGTGTAAGGAGGCAAGCAAGGACTGATGGAAGAAACTTTGGCAACTTTGGCGGAGGGGTTGGAAATTCTCTTTTCTAAGATTAACAGAAGAATAAATATAAACATATTTGCTCCCCTATTTCAAAGGAACATAATGCCCCTTGCCCCTTGCTGTGCATAAGTTAGGTGCTAAGTATTTGCTGATTGTAAGTGGGGCTAACTTCAGATTTTCTACTAAAGATAGTTTTATGCTAGAGCTATTTCCCTTTCCACTTTTCTTATCCGCACCAAAGTTCACTTTCTCTCAATAGCTTCATCCTAGTCAATTTCTTGATTTCAGTTGTCCAAAACCTGTGATTATTTTTTCATTGATTTTTAGAGAGAGTGGAAAAGGGAGGGAGGGAGGGAGAGAAACATCTATGTAAGAGAGACACATAGATAGGCTGCCTCCTGTACACGCCAGCAACCCAGGTGCGTGCCCTTGACTGGGAATGAACCTGAGATCTTTCAGTGCGAAAGATCTTTCAGATCTTTCTCTAACCACTCAACGCACCAGCCAGGGCAGGATTTTGTCTCCTTAAAGGAAATATTTCCATCAAAAGGCAAAGTGTAGAAAAGCAAGCAAGAACTTATTGACCAAAGCAAAAATATACTTAGATCAGTGAAACAAGGGCACAGCAGCAGCAACAGGAGAGCCTCAGCTGAGCTGCTTTGGCTCACTGGTGAAGCAGAATTTTTGGACTGGAACCTGGATTCTTTGTCAGCCGAAGTCAAAGAATGAATCCAGGGTCAGAGGTGGTATAGCAAAGGTGGAGATTTATTAAACAAGTACGGACCCCCACGTGGGGAGGGGAAAAGGGTCCCACTGAGTTCCTTTTCCCTGTGGCTTATAAAGGCTGCAGATCTTGGTGCTTTGATAACCCCTCAGATTGATCACTATTCCCTTGGACTGGTTACTATAGTAACTGCTGGTTTCAAAGGTGGAACCCTCCTTCCTTATTGTCTTTCTATTCCTGGTGTGCTTTCTTCTTCTGGATGAAGGGCTTCCTTTTCTTTATTTTGTAAATATAGACCTTCTGCTGTTCCCAGCTCCCTCATTCAGTGGAAATCTACCTATTGTAGTTTTTCCACTCCCCTATTCTATGGAGATAACACCTTCTGCTGCTCTGCAGCCCTGTGCTTCTATGGTTCTTTTAGTTTCTAAAATTTCCTAAAACCTGTCTTTTTCACACCCCCCCCCCCCAAATTCCTGTTTCACTGGGGAGTTAGAGAAAAGGGGGGTTTTGGAGACAAGTTCTGAAGGTTAGCCCAGGATGAGCGGCTGCTGCCATTGCACCCCTGGTTGCAAGTCTTTTCAGGTCCCTTAAAGTTTAGGAGATAGTGCCTGGGGGGAAGAGACAGGGGGAAGGGAATGGGATGGGAGGTTTTAAAGGCTGGGCCTTTAGGGGAGGTCTTAGGGGAGAATCAATAGAAAATTCATCAGCTTAATGCTCTTGTACCAAAATGAGATTTTTTCTCTCTTAATTTCTCAGTCCATGGGTGTGGTTGGGAAAAGGCACTAATTGGATTTCTGTTATCTGTCTCTCTGAATAGGTTGATTTAAGCTATAAACCGTTTAGTCTTAAGCATCTTTGGTTTAGGGAAAATAGGATTTAACTGTGTAGCTGAAAACTGCTCTGTAGCTATCTATTATAGTTTCCCTATTATGCTTGTTCTGGAGTTTTCCTAGCTTCTTATTCCATAACAGTTTGACCTAAACAAAAAAATTCTTGTGTTTTCTCTTAAAAGGTATTCTAAAATTTCTATATTATTCCAGATGACATAATTTTATAATTAATATAACATTTTAAAAATTATTATAAAATATACTTGTCATTCTTAAAACGTGTTTAGCCTGCAGCTACATCTACCCAGAGGTCCCGCTTTATTACCTTTTCTCTCAAACATGATCCTTGGGAAGACCATTTCCATTGTATATGAATACATGTTAAACTGCAGGAGAACCCCAAAACTTAACAAGTGAGTTTACTTTACCCCCTGGTTGGCAAACTGTGGTTCAAGAGCCACATGTGGCTCTTTGGAACCTTGAGGTTTTAGCAAAGACCAGTATAGGAGTACCCTAAATAAGTTAATAACAATGTACCTACCTATATAGTTTAAGTTTAAAAAATTTGGCTCAAAAGAAATTCCAATCCTTGTACTGTTAATATTTGGTTCATTTTGACTAATGAGTTTGTCGACCACTGTCTTAACCCAACATTTTTCAGCGAAAAACAGGATTTCTCTTAGGACATAATTTCCTAGCATACTTCCTAACTTCAAGCATAATATGCAGTATTTCATAGAATTTCTTTTTTTTTTTTTCTTCTTAAAGTAGAGTTCTTGGAACTTCTGCAGCATAAAATTCACATTCAGATTCATAGCTTAAAGTGCCATCCTATAATATATAATAAAGTGGTAATATGCAAACTAACCCTTATGCTATAATGCTGTCACAAGATGGTGGCTTTCATAGTGCAGAGTGGGGCCAGCTGTGCCTGTGCCTGCCCCTGCAGTTCCCTGGGCCTCTCGGGGGTGGGTCCCGGCTGCTGCTCCAAGTGGCTTCCTGGAGTTCCCTCAGCCGTGGGGTGGGGTGAGGTGGGGGTCCCAGCTGCTGCTCCTCGGCTTCCACTGCTATGACCAGGCTGGCAGGGAGGGCAGTTGGGGGTGATTGGGCAGTGAAGTGTCGATCAGGCCAGCAGGGGAGCAGTTAGGGGGTAATCAGGCTGGCAGGCAGAAGTGGTTAGGGGCAATTGTGGTGGGCAATTTCTCTGTTTTCTGCGTCCCGCACGGAAAACGACAGGTTCCTGAGTGGAGGAGCTGGGGATTAAGAAATTAGAGAAAGAAAGAGACAAGAGGCAGAAATAGATTCATAAAGCTGGGTGCTAGGTCGGCGCCATCTCTCTGATAGAGAGAAAGTCGCAGCATATTTATTGGTTTCCAAAGGGGAGTTTAAGGTCAAAAGGAGTTTCGGGTGTGCCCACATCCTATTCATCAGGATCTGGGTAAGCTCTTCATTTTTTGGTACAAGATTTGGCATATCAAGATCTGGGTAAGTCAAGGTCCTATTTGTGCCTCATTCCAAGCACATGGATAAAGATAAGAAATCAGTACTGACAAAAAGATTCTGCCAGTGCCCTTGGGCTCAGCTAATAAGAATTAAAATAATGTCCATGTGCCATCTCAGGCTTCTCTCTACAGCAATCTGACAGGCCAACAGAGGTTAGGAACTAGCAGTCCTGGACTGAGAGGGATTCCTGACTGCTGATTTAGGCCCAATCCCTAAACCAGCAGTAGGACATACCCCTAGGAGTCCCAGGGTGCAGGCTGGGCTGAGGGACACCCTCTCCAGTGCACAAATTTTGTGCACCAAGCCTCTAGTACTTCCATAAGAGTTTACAAAAGAACGTTTTCAGAAGTTTTACCATAAAGGCAAGGAGTTCAAATGAATGACTTGTAATCAGTATGGTAAATATGTTGGGAAGCTGATTTTTAGATGAGAAAGTGTTCATATTCTTTTCTCCTTATACCAGTTAAATTGTCATTCCTAGGTACTTTAGATACTTTATTTTTCATTGACATGTTAGTAATTGTAATTTACTTATAGATTTAAACTGGCATGTAAGTATATTAGAGCTTTTAGAAACTTGTTATCAGTTTTCTTGATAAAGAAAAATCTTTAAAAATTACATCATAACTTCTGTATACTTTTTCTATTTATAAACAAATGAAAACAATTCATGATATTCTTTTAAGTAAAAGGGATAACTAATTAAACACTTTGTAATTTGGTCAGATGCCATTTTTTTCAATTTATAGTAATGTATGAACTAAATTTAATCAATATTTGGACAGGATATTTTTGTCATCTATCAAAATTGGATTTACAGCTTTTACTTCTTTACATTATATGCCTCCATCATAGTTATAATAAACAGATGAAGTGTAAGGTTTTTTATTTTTATTTTACTTTTTCTATGATTTAGAATCCCGGTGGTTGAAATAATGCTCTTAATTTGTTTTTACTTTAAAAATATGTTTTTATTAAATTCAGAGAGGAAGGGAGAGGGAGAGATAGAAACATCAATGATGATAATCATTGTTTGTCTGCCTCCTGCATGCCCCCTACTGGGGAACTGAGCCCACAACCTGTGCATGTGCCCTTGACCCGAATTGAACCCGGGACCCTTCATTCCACAGGCTGATGCTCTATCCGCTGAGCCAAACTGGCTAGGGCTAGGGCAATTTATGTTTACCTTTGCTCCAGGACCTTTAACTTTGATATCTTCAAGAGCAGTAGAAAGAAAAAGAGGCTTGAGAGCTCAATTTCAACTTTTAAAGACTTAAGTCAAGGATCTCTTGTTATATATAAATATGTTTAAGGACTGAATATCTTGGGAAGTATTTGAGCATTGCTCAGATGACCTTTGGAATCTGCTGTACTTTAGTACTCTTCTAAGTTAGGGTGGTAAAAGTATGGTACAATTGGAAACTGGCAAACTGTCCACATGAGACTTTACCAGTCTCACTTTTTGATTGTCATTTAAAGAAAAATGAAGTTAGCTACAATTTAGGATGTAGTAAGCATCAATTTTATTTAACACCTGAAAATTCCCAAGTGTTCAATTTAAGAGCAAACTGAGTTTGTGAGCAGGTGTGTTTAGAGTTTCCTACCTTTGAAACCTTGAGTCTTTTTAAATTGGTGCATTTAAAAATATAAAAAATAACAAACAACCAAATGTTGGTACATTGTGCTGGTAATAATCATCTATATGATAAAGTTGTAATGCCATGCTTTTTTTCTCTCTTTTAGGTGTTGTGGTAAATGGCCTAGTAAATATTAGTATTTCTACTATTGAGAAGCGCTATGAAATGAAGAGTTCCCTGACTGGCCTGATATCATCAAGCTATGATATCGCATTCTGCTTGTTGTCTTTATTTGTTTCATATGTTGGCGAAAGAGGACACAAACCAAGATGGCTTGCATTTGCATCTTTTATGATAGGACTGGGAGCACTCGTATTTTCATTGCCAAAATTTTTTAGTGGAAAATACCAGTTGGGGTCCCCTTTTGAAGGTAAGTTTCTGTTGTGTTTTTGTTTGTTTTACTTTAAGAAGTAGTATGAAACTAGGCCATTAGCTACATATTGCAACTCACTTGTACAGGTAAGTAAGGTAAGGTCTCTTCCATTGCTCAGTGCTTTGTTGTGATGGGAGTTGTGTGAAGTATTGTAGATTACAGAGACAGATTGTGCATCAGACTTCTCTTCAGTGGTTCCAAACTTTTAGTCCTCTGATACTCATTCCCCATATTACACACAGTCCTCAAAAAAACGATGACATATTTTTGAGGTTGTGACCTCACTGGGGTTCTAAGACCTATAGTTTTTCCCTTTGTGCTTTTATTTGCTGTGCTTACAGCTCTGTACTCAGACTTGTTTATTCCTGATTTGAGATAAAAAGAGGTGAAATTTCTAGAACTTAAGCTTCTCCTAAGAACTGAAGGATTTAAGAGTTCCTAGAGGAGGAAGAGAAAGTGTTTTTCATAAGATCATTATCTGGGACTGTCTAGCTGTTGGAGGGACTATAGCTTCCTTAGCACCACAGTGTGTGGGGGAAGTGCAGACCTGATTGTACAAAATATGTTTTGTCAATGTACTATTCACCTGCAAATAAAGTTGGTAACAAATACTTCCACACACAAAAAAAGAGTCCCCAGAGGCACAGAACTTCAGGAGTTATATAATATGTTGTGCAAAAGTAATATGTAGTTGCAAAAGTATTATTCAGGGTCTTAAAAAAGAAATTTTATTATTTGTTTTTCTTTCTTTTTCTCTAAAAATATAACTTTTAATGGAAAATTAATTATGGTATTACCAGAGGAATGTACTAGTGAAAGTAGATGTTATCATTTCTATTGTCCTTCTGGCTTCTTAATAGTAACATAGAATAAAATAGAGGGTTACCAAATCAGAAGCTTTCAGGGCCTTGGGTAAGTGAAGTAAAAAGAAAGTAGAATTGGGATCTTCTGCAATTTAGGCATTACTTTTTAAAAGTTAAGATTAAGTTTGAGAATTAATATTAAAAATGAATATTAAAATGTTAACATTTCCTAAGACCAAATTCCCAATTATAGAATGACTAGAGGCCCAGTGCATGGATTTGTGTACATTGAAGGGAAATTAATTAGAAGGTGGCCAGCAGGGCAGGACTTGGTTAGACAGACTGGACACACCCTGGAGCCAATGTCAAATCATCCCTCCCCAGCCTGGGGCGGCACCAAGGTCCAAAGGGCTTCTGTAGATTCTAGTGCATTATCTAAGATTGGACAATATTTCATAAAGCCAACAATATAATTTCACTGGGGTAGTTTTCAGAACAGGGTGTATAGGCTTTAGTATAACACCTTTGAAATCTAATAAATTTTAGTTTGTCACACAAGAAACGATACTGATTTTATGATGGTAAGAACATTACAATGTTTATAGCATGTAGGAGGTAATCTTTGTACTGAGTCTAATCTCACACTCTTGCAGTTCAGATGCCCTACTTGTTCATGTAGTACACATACTTTGATGACAAACCTCTTACTCTGTAAACCATAATCACCTATTCCAGTACAAAAGCCTGATCTGTCCTCAGCAATCTTCTTAGCTTTGTCTCTTGTCCCATTCACCCAGAGTTGCAGACAATCTGGATAATTTATATTTCCCACAAGGAAATGGTCACAAGTTACAGTATGGGCCAGAGATGAAGCCAAGAAGATTGCTGAAGCCAAATCATAAACTTTTAGTACATTATTGTATACTGTGTAAATTTTCACCAAATTCTTACTGATATTTTTTTCATATTTTAGCTGAAGTAGGTTAGATAATGGTATTGGCTTGTCTGTAAAATTTTTACTCTAAGACTCTTATTTTAAATAATAGCTTACCTGTGGCGAATGAAAGCAAGAACTCAGGTTGCCCTTATGTTAGTCTGTCATCTGTGAAATAAATATTGATATGAACTATATGTTGCTGGAAAAATAGAAGTGAAATAGTTGATGCCATCTGCATTTATTTACTAGTGTGAACAAATAGAAAATTAAGTAAGTAAACAAGATAAAGATTGAGGTGAGCGTATGAATGGAACAGATAGTATAAAGTAGTAGTGTACAAAAGGAAAAGATATGTGTCAAAGGGAAGGCTATTTTGATAACTGAAAATGAGGAACCAGCCTTAAAAGAAAAGAAGCTAACCAGCCTTGCTGGCTAGGCTCAGTGGTTGAGAATCAACCTATGAACGACGAGGTCACAGTTTGATTTATGGTCAGGGCACATGCCTAGGTTGCAGACTCAATCTTCAGTGTGGGGTGTGCAGGTGGCAGCCAGTCAACGATTCTCTCTCATCATTGATGTTTCTCTGTCTCCCTCCTCTTCTTTGAAATCAATAAAAATATATTTAAAAAAAAGATGCTTTCCAGGATGGGAAAAAACTCGATCAAGGGACCTGGGGCAGGAAAGAGCGGGGCAGGTTTCATGACTCAGTTTTGCCTAGCATGATCAAAACAAAGGAGAACGTGGCGTGAGATGAGCTTGGAGAGGCAGGCAGAGGCATGGGTTTTCCTCTAAGGGCAATGGAAAGTGTGAGAGAGAGTTTTACACAGGGAAGTGCATGGTCTTATTTAAAATGATCATTTTGGCTCCTGTGGTTCTGAAGGGTAAGATTAAGTGGGAAGAAATCACTCAGGCGGGTGGATTTTACAGTAGTCAAGGTGAGACCCACGTGGTTGGGACTGGGTTGTTAGCTGAAGAGATCGAAAGGAGTGACTATTTTCAGTGTATTCTAAAGGAAAAAGAGATCAGACTTTCCAGTGGATTGGTTGTGAAGGAGGAATGAAGAATGATTCTTCGATATTTGCCTTGACCTACTGGGGCCCTTTGCTAGAATGTGGAACACTATATAGAGCAGTGTATTGTATATCTGGTTTTGTAATATATATCTGTGAACTCACAAGTTCATGTAAATGTGCAAGTCATTCTTTAGTCTTCATTCCTAGAAGTGCAAATACTGGGTTTGAAGGGCTTCCTCATTCTAATTTTTCATATATAATGTCACACTGACTTTTAGGAAGGAATATAGCAGTTACTCTCCCATAGTCAATATGAAAATGGCCAGCTGCTATTTTGAATTTTTACCTGAAAAATTTCTTTAATGGAAATATTATTATATGTTGGTATATATGTGCAGGTGTTGTCACTGTAACAGATACAAAACTCAGGACTGAAGTTGTATTATATATTTAAAGGAACTCAGACATTTAGAACATAAGAAATTTTAGAAATCAGAAATCCCTGTTTTTGCGATGTAGAACTTTTAGGACAAGAGGTGAAGTAACTTAAAAGTGATTTCATAGATGTTCAATAAGAACCAAAACTAATACTAGTTCTTATGCTTTGTTAAATGTTTTCTAAATTGTTATTATTCGTAGTAGGCTTTTTTTTTTAAACTATATTGAGTAATTTAGATATTTTTATGATTTAAATAATTTCTCCCCCAGTTACAAATAGCCAGTTATAATGGTCTGTACTTTATTGTTATTTTTTAAATCTTCACCCTGGGATATTCCTTTATTGATTTTAGAGAGAGGAAGTTGAGAGAGACAGAGACAGAGACAGACACAGAGAGAGATGGAAAGAGAAACACACGAAGTGTTTGCCTCCCATGTGTGCCTCACCCCGATCAGCCCTGCAGCCTTCGGTGTACAGATGATGCTCCAATCGCCTGAGCCACCCGGCCAGGGCTGATCTGTGCTTCCTTTAAAACATAATAGTCTGCTCAAGTGAATTAATCTACTTTTGCAAATATGGGATTCTATCACCAAAATCTGAGTTATTCAGTGTAGAAGAAAACTGAAGATTGATGTGGGAAAAGGAAACAAATTAGTTGGAAACATCCTGTAGATAAATTAGAAGCCGGGGGATGTACATTTTCTTAGGTAACATAACATAAATTGCCTAGAGCACATAACATTAAGAAGTTATTTTATTAATTAAATCATACATGTAACTTAATTTGAAACTGTCCTTGAAAGAATTAACATATTCCCTGTGTGCTATTTTGTGGCCTTTGTTTTTGAATCTGAGCTAAGTCAAAGTCAGGCTCAGTTTGGATGAGATAATTTCTGTAAGAAGAGACTAAAGTAGTATAATATAGTTGGTAAGTAGAAGAAAACAAAATGTGAAGTATGATACTAACATTTCCATAGGAGTGAGAATATAAAAGGAGGTCAGGACTTAGCAAAAGGTAGAAAAGTGTGTTTGGAAGCAGTTTGAATTTTCTATTTTGTAAAAAAAAATAAATTTAAGTACTTTTGTAAAGTATTTTATTTATTTATTTGTCACCCAAGGACATGCTTTTTATTGATTATAGAGAGATGGGAAAGGAGAGAGGAGAAGAGAGATAGAACATTGATATGAGAGTGAAACTTTGATTGGTTACCTCTTACACAGGCCCCCATTGCCCTGCAACCTAGGTATGGTATGTACCCTGACCATCAAACTGGACATTTTGGTGGATAGGGAGATACTCAACCAACTGGGTCACAGGAGCCAGGGTGGGAAAGTGTTATTTAAGGGGCACTTTTATGGAGATATAAGGGTGAGAAGTGATTTTCTTAATTTGAAGGGAGATAAAAACATTTATTAAAAGTAAGTTTTGATGGTTTCTGTTGTATACAAAAAAGGGGAAGAATTAAAATTAAGAGATATGAATGCTTCTAAGAGCCAATTTTTGCATATGTTAACCTGAAAGATAAAATGGTGTCAGAAAACATTTTCAAGTAAATCTTTTTGTCACTTTTGATGTATTTTAACATTACATTAACATAATGCAACATTTTGATAAAACTTAAATATTTTAAAAATGTAATAAATCAATCTTTAGCATATTACATTTTCTTTTTATCTAAGCACTGCTTAATTCCTTTTGGATCAGTGTTAATTTAATCTTGTTAAGCAAAATAATCTTTTCTCTGAGACTTTGGGCTGGGTGTCATTAGTCATTAGTAAATACTAAGGAATTAAAGAGAATAATT